GTCTTTTTCCCCCCCCCCCCCAACCTGGGCGTGGAAGAGGTGACTTCAAGTTTGCTTAAGGGATTGGTGGTGGTGGGGAACCAGGTGTCGCAATAGTGAATCCTGCTTCTCTTCTTCCTCTTCCTTTTCCTCCTCCTCCTCCTCCACCCACATGTCAGGAATGGCTTTGAATTTCTGGCAAACCCGACTGCCAACATCTGCAAGCCGGCTGGGTCCCAGGAGGGAAGATTTATTGATTTTCTCGCACCGCCAATTTTCCAGGTGCTAAAACAAGAGGCGGGGAACAAAAAGCAATAAAAGCGGAGCACGTCAGCGAACACCTTTTCATTTACCCCCCCTTCCCTCCCCCCTTCTCCTCGGGAAATTGCTAGTCCTTTTTAAAAACTGGACTCCCCCCCCCCCACAATCCCAAGCTGAGCAGGACAGCTTAAAGTGATCTGAACATGGATATTTAAGGATCGGGGTTGGGACCTTCATAGCTGGTAGTTATTATTTCGACGTGTTCAGGAGAGACACCCACGTTCAGCTTAGCTTTTTGTTTTGTTTTTGTTTTTAGGCCGTTTCCACTACAGCTGGCTCTTAGGTTTTGTCTCCTTTATCTGGGGAGGGAGGCTCTTCCAACCGTGAGCCAGGCTTGGACCACTTGCCTGGTCACCAAGGGCAAGCGGGAACGGGCTGCAGGCAGGGCCGGCTCACTCACTAGGCGAACTAGGCGATCGCCTAGAGTGGGCCGGCCCTTAGGGGCGCCAAACTGCACCCGGCCCCGTACTCTGGGAGTTTCTTGATTATTTGTGTTTTTCATTCTTCCTAAAATGCATTTATTTTTGGAAATTGGTGGGGGCACGGGGAGGCGCGCCGTAATGGATCCCCGCCTAGTGTGCAAAATAAGCTGGGGCCGGCCCTGGCTGCAGGTGAGCGGGTGGGGGACGCTGGGCAAAAGTCAGTTCTCCCTGCCCTCCTTTTAAAAAAAAACACCCATAAATGACTAGGCAGAGTTGAACCCTCCTGACCCCACTGACTTCAGCAGATTTCGAAGGGTGTGACTACTTACTAGGAGCTGCGGTGGCTCAAGTGGTGAAGACGCTGAACTGCAGGCTGTGGGAGGTCGTTCGTTCGGCAGTTCGAGACCCGAGTGTGCCGCATGACGGAGTGAGCTCCCGTCTCCAGTTCCAGCTCCTGCCAACCTAGCCGTTCGAAAGCAAGAAATTGCAAGTAGATAAATAGGTAGCACTTTGGTGGGAAGGGAACAGCGTTCCGTGCCCCTTGGTGTTTAGTCATGCCGGCCACATGACCACGGAAACGTCTTCGGACAGCGCTGGCTCTTCGGCTTTGAAACAGAGATGAGCAACCCTAGAGTCGGACTCGACTGGCTTTCGA